CCACACCCATACCGACACACACTCACTAATACACACCCACCCACACCAACACACATCCACATCCACACCCATACCAGCACACACTCACCAACACATGTATGCCCACACAACACACAACCACACTGACACCCAATCACATGCACATCCAAACACAGTCACCTACACACCAACACATACGCACTCACACTCACCACAACACACACCAACTCATATCCACACCCACACACATTAACATACTCCCACCTGTACTCACACCGACACACATTCACTCACACCAACAAACCCCCCACACCAGCACACACCTGTTCATCAGCATATCCACCTACTCACATACACCCATAACAACATGCACACCCATACCAACACACACACCCATGCCAACACACATACACCCACACACAGCCACACTGACACCCAATCACCAACATTCACACACACCAAAACCAACAGACACACACTCACACACCCACACCAACAGACACCCACACCAACACACACCCATGTCAACAGACAGACAGCAACACATTCACTCACACTCACACCAATACACACCCACTCAGATTCACATCCACCCACACTCACACCCACCCACACTACACAAACCCACTCACACCCAAACACACTCAAATACTAAACAACCAATCACATCCAAACACACTCACACCAAACACCCAATCACATCTATCCACACTCACACCCCACAATCACACCAATACACATCCATTCATAATCACACTCACACACACCAACACACACACTCACATACATGCCCACACCAACACTTATATTGCCTCACACACATCAACACACACAACACAGACACACCCACTCACAATCACACTGATTCACATCAATACATACCTACTCACAATCACATCCACCCACACCAACACACACAGTGCACACACAAGCATACTCTCACCCACCAACTCACATACATTCACACCAGTCTAGAAAGGAGTATGTTGATATTCTAAAAGCATGTCAATATAAAAAAGGAGTTGTTGGGTGTTTTGAAAAGCATTAAGGTAGACAAATCCTCGGGACCTGATTGGGATCTATCCCAAAATACAGAGCCAGGTGAGGGAGAAAATTGGTGGGCGTGGGAGGGTGGGGGTGTCCTTGCCTGAAATCCTTGTATCCGCTTTAGTCACAAGAGAGGTCCCAAAGGACTGGAGAATAGCCAATGTTATTCCTCTTATTAAGGGCAACAGAGATTATCCTGGAAATGACAGACTGGTGATCCTTACGTCAGTGGTATGGAATTATTGGAGAAGATCCTTAGGGACAGAATTTACTCACATTGGGGCAGCTTGTAGCACAGTGGTTAGCATTGCTGCCTCATAGTGCCAGGGATCTGGGTTTGATTCCAGCCTTGGGCAATTGTCTGTGTGGAGTTAGCACATTCTCCCTGTGTCTGCGTGGGTTTCTTCTGGGAGCTCTGGTTTCTACCCACAGTCCAAAGATGTGCAGTTTAGGTGGATTGGCCATGCTATAGTGTTCAGGGTAGGTGGATTAGCCATAGGAATTGCAGGGTTACAGGGATGGGGTGGGTTAGGTTGGGATGCTCTTTGGATGGTCAGAATGGCCTGCTTCCACACTGTAGGGATTCTGTGATTTGGGAAAAATATGGATTTATTAGCAATGTGCGGGACAAGTTGTGTCTCACAAATTTGATTGAGTTTTTGAGGAAGTAACAAAGGTAAAGACAGGGCACTGTTCCTTTGCTGTCACTGGGTCAAAATCTTGGAAATCCCTTCCTAATGTGATTGTGATATATCTACACACAAAGAATTTCAGCACATCAACTTTTCCAGGGCAATTAGGAACGGGGAACAAACGATGGCGCAGCTAGTGACCCTCATCCCATAAAAGGATATATTTTAAAAAATACTCCTTTCTTACTTCAGCTATCATTTTTGTCTCAATAAGAAGATCTACTTTTGTTTTACCTAATCCATCTCACATTTCAATTCACTGCCCCGTTTCTGTGTAAATGTTAAGAAAGGGTTAGGGTAACATACCACAAATCTTTTTTGACCCTCTTGGATTCAAGGGCAATAGAACCCTCAGCCCTATATTGCTCTAGTTCCAGCTTCCCAATGGAGTCTCAAATGACATGACTACCGAAATGACATTTACTTCACTGCGGACCTCAGAAACTTGTCTACACCTTTATTAAAATTTATCTCCCTACCTCTTATTCCTATTATTCATTCTCCTCTGCACTTTTTTGTGTTAGTTTGGTTCTCCTCACAAATATAGAGAAGAATTTTGGTCTCTTTTTCTCTCTACTGGGACCTAAGTCACATACAGAATGATGTCAAGTTGAGGCCTAGTACGGAATGTGACCTCTTATAAGCCTCAGTCACATCACATCCCGCAGCACCAGACAAAGGGGTCCTAGACATCAGGGAATTCCCCACAGGTTTATTGTCATGTATCTCTGTGGCCTCAAATAACAGAATGAAACAAATTCTTGCTTTCCAAAACAGAAAAAAGGAAAAAAAATATTTTGGCAGCCAGTCAGGCTGAGCTAAGATTCTAGTCCTGGACTCCATCCTGACTTAGGTTTACTTTATGCTTCCTTATAGAGGAAAAAGAAGCTGAACGAGCTCATATTCCGCATAGCACTGCTTCACTCCTTACTCCATTACAGCAATATATCAGGCGAAATTGTTTGTACCAAGAAACTGCCAACCCACCAGGACAGTAATCTCCAAGAATTAAGGATTAACCCCTAAAATCCTGTTGTGAGCAAGTGTGACTCATAGAAACATAGAAAATAGGAGCAGGAGAAGTTCATTTGGCCCTTTGAGCCTATTCTGCCTTCTAATATGATCACGCTTGATCATCCAACTCAGTCCCCTATTTTTACTCTCTCTCCGTACACTTTGATCCCGTTAGCACTAAGAATGTTATTCATCTCCATTTTGAAAACATTCAATGTTTTGATCTCAACTGTCTTCAGTGACAGGGAATTCCACAGGCTCACCACTCTCCAGGTGAAGGAATTTCTCCTCATCTCAGTCCTAAATGGCGTACCCTGTGTTCTTAACCTGTGACTCTCTGCTTCTGGACTCGATGATCATTGGGAACATCCTTCCTGCGCTTACTCTGTTCTAGTCCCTTTGAATTTTATAGGCTTCTGTGAAATCTCCCCTCATTCTTCTAAACGCCAGTGAATATTATCCTAACCAATCCAAAGCTTTCTGGGGGGAATGGTCGGCCTTGGCCTCTTCCTGATGTTAGTCTTTACTTAAATCTAGCAGAGGGAAGAATTTGTCTGCCTACTCAGGCAGTTTGTCAGGCAAGACAGTTTACAATTCAAGACCCCAGACCTCAGGAAGCCTCTTGGACAGAGTGTAGAGTGAGGAGGGGGAGTCATTGAATGGGAGTTGGTAACCAGGGAAGGTTGAAGGGATTGGATTGGAAGGTGCTTGAATGGGATGTGTCAAATGGGGAACTGGGGAACATCAACTCATCCTGGCTCCATGTTCCGAGAATTATTTTTTTACAATTGCTGCCTCCTGACTTTGGCCCTGAAAGAAGCCAGGCCAATGCCACATTACAATGTTCTCCAAAATTCCAGAAGATCAGTCATAACAAGGTAAAATCATTCTCAGTTATGTACCCTGCCCAGTGCCCCCTTCAATCCATCCTGTGCCCCTTCATTTCCATATTCCCTCCCCATCCTACTCACACTTCCACTACTCCTCCCAGTACCAATTGCCCCCCTTTCGCTTCCACTGTGTCCCAACCCACTCCTCTCCTGTTCCCTTCCCACTGCTAATTCCTGTCCCCTCAATACACCATCCCTTTCCTCTATACTTATTCCTACCCCTAACTTTTCTCACCTGTTCTACTCCTCTCCCAATATCCCTTCCACTATCATCCTCACCTATCTGACTCTGTCCCATTCATTCCCCTTCTTTTCCCATTCAAATCTCCCCATACTGTCATTCCCACTTCCATTCCCTGCTCTCATTGTACAATTTCCATCGCTCTGTCTCCAATACCTGCCTATTCCATTCCATCCCACTTCCTCTCCCAATCCCATTTTCCCTATTTCCCCATCATTCCCACTATCCCATCCTCCCACTCTCATTCCTGTCCCTCCTTCTCCAATTCCCTCCATTTCCTCTCCCAATCCTAACTTCACCATTTCCCCAGCCTTCCCTGTCCCATCCTTCATCTCTCATTCCCATTTTCTCCTTCCCTGCTCTTCACACTCCTATTCCTGCCTCTCCCATCTCTCCCTCTCCTGTTCTCATTCTGCTGAACCAATTCCCATTCCATCCCCTTCCCCTCCCTTTCCCATCCTCCCCAACCTGCCTTCCCACTCCCACCTCTTCGTCTCCTGTTATGACCCTCCCCATCTGCAACCCTCCCGATCTCGTCCCTGCCCCTGCCAGCTTCGTGCCCACCCTTCCCACTTCTCCTCTCACTGCCATTTCGGTCACACCACCATCCTCCCCCTGCTGCCCAACACAAATCCACAGGATTTACCTCCAGCTGATGCGTCTTGTATTCCTTCCGGCTGTGCATCGTCAGCTGTGTGGAAGATAAGGAGTTAAAAACCAAAGAGATATAAGTTGAGGAATGGAGATAAATACACACTCCCACAGTGTCACTGATGGGCTGGTTTAAGTCAATCCTCACAGCAACAGGAGCAACCTTTGAATGAAATGTGAGTGGTCAAATTAGCAAGACAAACTACTACGGATCCCAGATATCTGAAATAAGAACAGCAGAAAAGCAAGCTGCAATGCTCAGCAGGTCAGGCAGCATCTATGGAGGAAGAAACTGAGCTAATCATTTGGTCTCTGACCTTTCATCACAACTGAGGACCCGCTGAGCTTTCCCAGATATTTGACTTTGTAGCAAAAACAGAATTCAACAGAGAACTGTTAGAGAGCAGGAGTTGTTTAGCCCATTGTGTCTGCACTGGCATTTATAGGTGTGAATGTGAGCCACTGTATAGACTCTGGCTTCCAGCATTTGCTGTCCTTATTGTCTCCAACTGTCTGCCCTGGCCCAATAGATCACCATCATGACTTAACCACATTCTTTTGCTTTTTCTTATCACCCTGCATGTTGGTTTTATTCCAATAACTGCTGGCCCAGGAATGATGTATTCCTAAACAGAAGTACTCTTATTGCTATAAGCTGACTCAGACTGGGCTGGAAAATGGGAGATTCTTTCTGATCTATGCTTACAGGGAGGGAGTCAGGCATGGGGAAAATTTGACAAAGCTCAGACACATTTGACACACTTGTAAGTGTCACATGCATATTACAAGCTCAGAACTTCAGAGACAGGTGGGGAATTAGAATCATAGAATTCTTACAGTGTGGAAGCAGGCCATTCGGCCATTGAATCCACACCAATCCTCCGAAACGCATCTCACCCAGACCCACCCCCACTATCCTACCCCTGTAACACTGCATTTCCCGTGGCTAATCCACCTAGCTTGCACATCCCTGATACTATGGGCAATTTAGCATGGCCAATCCACCTAATCTGCTCATCCTTGGACTGTGGAAAAAAACTGGAGCACCCAGAGGAAACCCAAGCAGACACAGACAAAATGGGCAAATTCCACACAGATAGTTGCCTGATGGTAGAATTGAACCAGGGTCTCTGGTGCTGTGAAGCAGCAGTGCTAACCACTGAGCCACTGTGCTACTCTCAATACCCCCAATTATAACACCATGTTACCCCAAGTTGACAATGTCGCTGGTAAACGAGTAGACAGGGAGAAACTGTTCCCACTCGTAAAAGTTTCGAGAACGAACGTGCACAGATTTAAAATGTTTTGGACAAGAAGCAAATGTGAAGTGAGAGAAAAACTTTATCACCCAGTGAATAGTTAGGGCATGGGATGCACTGCCTGGAAATGTGGTACAGGAAGGTTCACCTGAGGCATTCTAAAAGGGCAGTGGATGATTATTTGGATAGAACCACTTGCAGTGTTATGGGCTCAGGGTAGGAAAATGATGTTAAGTCATCATGTTCATTCAGATAGTCAGTCTCCTCATGATTGGCCAAAAAGTGTCCTCCTGCATTATCCTAATTCTATGATTCTGAGAGGTCCAGGTTAATGCTGTGGGGACATGGGTTCAAATCCTACAGTGATACTACTATTGGCCATGGAGCCAAGAACCATAACTGTTGTAGAAGTGAACATTCAGTCCATCAAATTCATGTGATCCCACTGTGCTGGGGGTGGTGGGGGTGGGGTGGTGGAGGTTTGCTGCAAATGAACATTTTGCTCAGTCTCTTCTTCAGTAAGGCAAGTTGGCTTGGGATTGGAGTCATATGCCATCATGCTATTTCTCATGGTCAGTGAGTCAGTCTACCTTTAGCAGACATGCTCCTGGTATCATCACCATTTCATAGCATACGACAATTTCAAACTCCATCTTACCTGACATCACTTGAAGCATGACATTCTACTGTAAGCATCCTGCTCTGTTGTAACATCATAACGTTAACTCAAACACTTATGTGTCCGAGGTATGTTACATTTGTACAAAATAGTTCATTGTAATAAATATCTGTTGGATTCTTCAATACCACTACATCCACACCCAGTTTCTTATCCTATGGGAGAAACTTTGGCATTGCCACGCCTGGTAAAACACCCTGCTGAAGGCAAAGCTTGGACCACACACAAGCTGGGCTTGGTAAGGATGGCTAACTCCCTTCCTGAAAGGAAGGACATTCTCACAGCCACTTTCACTTAATCAAGAGAATTTGCGCTGCCACAGGACGGTGTGATAATTTCAAATCCATCTTCAAAAGCTAAGTGGACTTAAAATTCACACACTGCTATGTTGCACGCAAATCCTAAACATTACTCTTCAGGCCTGGAGGTCACCACTTCAAAACGCCACCACCCACCACTCAACGAGCTACTAGGTTTTACAAAGACTGGTTCAGAAATTTCTCAGCTGTGTTGATGCTCATTTATTTAGATTCAGCTCCAACTGGGAAGCTCTCTTCCTGGCCTGCGTGCTTAATGAGTTCCAGATGGTTAAGGCAGGATTCTGAACAATGAGAAACATTTTTAAAAATACATAACTCCTGACTCCTCTCAATGAGTCACGCCAGATTCTGCTGTTTGACTCAAAATGCTCCTGTAAAGTTGGTGAGCAGATGGGGAGGAGGGGAAGTGGGGATGAGTTAGGAGAGGGGGAAAGAGTGGGTAGGGGAAAGAGGAAAATTGAGGGAGGGGGGACTGGAATTAGCAAGAGGGGTTGAGGGGGAGGAGGCAGAAGTGCAGGTAGGGTAGTGAGAGGGGGGAATGTGGAGGGGGAAGGGCTTAGATATTGGGTGAGTGAAAGGTAGGCGGGGCGAGAGAGAGAGAGGAGGAAAGGGAATGAGGAACAGGAAGATGTGGAAGGAGAGGGGAAGGTAGAAAGGAGAGAAGGTGAGGGGTCGAGAGACAGGGAGCTGAAAGAGGGAGGGGGCATGGTGCAGGTGGGTGGGGAATGGAGAGAGGGTGTTCATAAATGGGAGGGGGAGGGGTGGACTTAAGGAAGAGGAAGGGTGTGGAAGAGAGGAAGGCTGGGGACTGGTTGAATAAATTGTACATGGCGAGGCGAGGGGAAAGAGATCAGCATAGAGAGGGTGTGAATGAGAGAGAGGGAGATTAGATGAGGAGAGGGATGAGTGGAGAGGAGGATTAGTTAGGGGAGCAGAGATGGGAAGTATAGGATGGGAAAGGCTGCATGCAGGAAGAACGTTCCCGATGTTGGGGAAGTCCGGAACAAGGGTCACAGTCTAAGAATAAGAGGTAAACCATTTGGGACTGAGATGAGGAAGAATTTCTTCACTCAGAGAGTTGTGAACATGCAGAAGTCTGTACCACAGGAATTTGTTGGGGCCAGTTCATTAGACATATTCAAGAGGAAGCTGGATGTGGCCTTTGCAGCTAAAGAGATTTGGTGATTTGGAAAGTGGGAGTGGAATACTGAAATTGCATGATCAGCCATGATCATACTGAATGGTGGGGCAGGCTCAAAGGGCTGAATGGCCCATTCCTGCTCCTATTTTTCATGTTTCTATGAGTAGGTGGTAGAGAGGGTGTTTAGGTTGGGGAGGGGTGAGTGGGTGGAGGAGAGGGGGAGAAAGTGAGGGAAAGGAATGGATGCAGGAGGGTTGTTGGGTGCAGAGGTGGGAGGTGGGGGGAGATGGATGGATTTATGGGAGAGTTGGAGCACTATTGGGGGTGGCATGGTGGCACAGTGGTTAGCACTGCTGCCTCACAGCACCAGTGTCCCGGGTTTGATTCCACCCTCCGGCGACTCTCTGTGTGGAGTTTGCACATTCTCCTCGTGTCTGCGTGGGTTTCCTCCGGGTGCTCCAGTTTCCTCCCATAGTACAAAGATGTGCACGCCAGGTGGATTGGCCATGCTAAATTGCCCGTAGCGTTCAGGGATGTGTAAATTAGGTGGGTTATAGGGGGATGAGTCTGGGTGGGTGCTCTGAGGGTTGGCGTGGACTTGTTGGGCCAAAGGGCCTGTTTCCACACTGTAGGGATTCAATTCTATGTTCAGCATGTTGTTTAAGAGTGTCTGGTGTTCAGTTTTGGACCTCTGTCTGCATTGAATTTGAGCAGCCCTGACCCAGACACAATTAGCCACAGGAGCCCAGCCTCCCATTTTATCAAATCCCACACTAACAGCCATGCCCAGTCAGAAAGGAGTAGAATAAATAATGTGAACAAAGATCACATATCACACAATTCAAGACTTCAGCACCAACATCCTTTATCTTCCTGAGTACAGATTAATAAAAAAGAAAAATGATTCCAGAGAATACAAAACATGGTTTATTAAAAATAAACAGAAAATCCAAGAGTCCACCTCCCATATTGATCATCAAAGCATTCCTGAATCTGTGTTTCAGTTTAAACCATATAATTATTATGTTCTTATCATAAGAAATAGGAGAAGCAGATTCAGCCCATCGAACCCACTCTGCCATTCTAAAAGATCAAGGCTGATCTGATTTGGCTGCTCCCCGATAATCCCTGCCTTCCTCATCGATTAATAGCCTGTTTGATGCAGCCTCCAATATATTTAAAAATCCAGCCCCCACACTGTTCTGGGAAGGAGAATTATAAAAATTAATTGCCCTCTGACAGGAGAAAATTCTTCCAAACTGGGGGTCTCCTTAATTTGATGCTGTTTTAACGTTCCCTGGTAATTGTTGGTTCTTGGCTGTGATATTAAGGACAGCGATTCTCCTCAAAGTTTAGAGATGGGCGCCATAATGTGCAAGTCACAGCCCCCCTCACCACTGACCAAAAAGCCCACTTGGACCATGTCTACAAGTGACCACCAGATGGATTTTTGAGTACCTCCCCTGTCTTGACCTCGAAATGGTACAGGATATATTTGCATTGGAAGCATTTCAGAGAAGGTTCATTAGATTGATTTAGAGATGAAAGGTGTGTCTTATGAGGAGAGATTGAGCAGTTTAGGCCAATATTCACTCAAGTTTAGGAGAACGAGAGGAGATCTATTTAAGGTACGTAAAATAC